CGCCACCATGGTTTTAATTAAGAAAACCAAACCACTTAGGTTTAGGAACAACATCATGGACATAAAATAACTATGTAAACTAAGTACATAAAAACATCACAAACATAACCTCACAATAACACCAGTGTCCTAGTTGAAGTTCTGTGTTTGTTTGACCCCACACCGTTGCAGTCCACCGTAGTTTATCAACTGCGTGCTACAGGGCCGACTGCCTTTGATCTGCCAGAGTTTCCTGCATCCTGTATGCGTCGAGCATAACCCCGGACCACCGGTTGGTGTGGCATGGGGCTTCTCTTCCTCCAGTTGATCGCGAACCCCCAACTTGCTTAGGTGTAAAATTCAATTGGGCCATGTGGAACTTGGCCTATTCTCTGGACTTGGCCATGGCAACGAGGTCGTGGAGATAAAAGAAGACCCTCACACCAATGAGATATTCTCGTTGGAGGGTTTGCGGTGGAGCATTGGTAGCTTGGGCGTGGACCTTGACGGTGTCGAAATTTTGGGCAGAGCTTGGCAGGCCGGGCAGGCTGGTGGCCGCTAGACACCGCTCTCTGCATGGTCTGCGCCGAGCAGTCAGTGGGCAAATCAGGTTCAATGAAGGATGGCGAAAAGTGATGTGTGCTGCCGTATACACTGTGGGGTATGTACGTTTCCGGGTAGGCATAATGATTGACAAACATGCACGCTTGTGATTGGAGGAAAGTATTACCCATAAAGTCCAGTAGAGGGCAGAGCCCGTAGGATTTAGAAGCCTATAGATAAGTTTCACTTACAGTTCCCTGTCAGAAAATAAATGAAATAGCTTAGGCCTACATTTAAATAGATATTGATTCATTTTTAGGTAAGCCTTTCTTCGAGATGGCTAAAATATGTTTTGCTGCTACCCTACAGCAGTGCATCGCATAGCGTCTGTGCTGGTACTTCAGTCTGTTTCTACATACTGGGGGCGTGCTGACCACCGTTTACTGTAGGTAATAGTACTTCACACAGTCCCACTTCATAACACCCAACATATCCCTTTAATGTGTTTTATAAGACAGTTGTGATTATATTTTATATATAATTACACATAAACAAATCTTAAAAAGCATTTATTAATTATTTGTAAAATGAATCAGTTATAAAGGCTTATTAGTAGACTATTACAGGAGTTTTAGTGATTGAGAAATGCATTGATAAGCACTAAATATGTGCTTATATATAACTACATAATAGTGTGTTATAATATGTTGCAATGTTTACAAATGCTATTGTTTACAAATGCTATTTATTGTGCTTGTGCCCTTCATCACTATACTCTACAAAGTACTTGACAATAACAGATGTTTTTTTTGTGCATGCAAATTACCATTTATAATATCAATTATTTTACATTATGCAAAATCATGGTGTTTTGTTGTGACCTCTTTTATGTTAACAATCTAAATCACTTATTTCATCAAATTGGGGGAGATGCAGAGGCCTTGGATTAGTTAATTATTTTCCCTGGGAGTAAGTACGCTTTTTATTTTAGCTTCATCCATCTTGTTGAGAACTTCATCCGCCTTTTCTCAGTCTCTGCTTTCCCAGATGGTAGACAACCAGTCTGCTGACTGAGCTAATTCAGAGTAACACTATAGTGATTGTCTCTGCAAAGGGAGTCCCTTCAAGCCTTGCATTACAATCGCATCTTACAACATCTTAAGCTCCGCCCCTGTTATCCAGCAGAGGCATATTGTCTTGGAAGTAGAGGCTGGAACAAGAATGCTGGCAGTGAGACCTGGCTGGTACATCTGTTTTTTGGACTGGACAGACTGTTAATTAGTAATTACCAGCTCATTGTTGCCTGGAGGACTCTAGCCAAAAACAGCAGAATTAGCTATGTGGAGCAGTGCAGGTGTAGCCTGTCAAGGGACTGTATGGTATGTATAGTGGCCAACCATGTAAAACTCACTTTTGAGCCTCCCCTATTTAGCAAATGTTCCTCTTAAAACTTTTATAAAGAGTAAAAGAACCTTGTAATATGTGTTGTTATACAGCATCCGCATCACAAAAAAATCTATATGATTTCCATTGCTGACTCATGGAGTAAACCACCCCCTGATTTTCAGCCAGTGGCTGCTGTAAGATATACTTCCTCTGCCTGTTGAAATTGCACAACATATGTCTGTTGCCAAGTAAATGTTAGTTATTTGTCATTAAATGTGGATCTCTCAGAAAACCTAACTCCAACTAAATTGAATTAAGATGAGGTGCTGATTCAGGTATCGATTATCACATTATTACTTTAAATCCAGAGAGAAAAGAGAAAAGGTGCTCTCTGTCTCCAGACTATAATCTTGAAGCTACATCTAGTGGTGAGAAGGAAGACATGCAACAAACAATGAAATTAGATTAAGATTTACTTCATGTCAAATTAAATCTAAGAGATGCAGGGTGGTTATACCGTGTCCAAAAATACATGTTTCCGGGTCTGTCCTTAATAAATAATACATTTATAAAAGTGCAAGGTTGTTTGATGAATTCCTGTGTTCAGTTCAAGCCCCTTCTAAAGTGTCCAAAAGACAGAATTCTGCTGCACTCTGACCTCCCCCTCACTGTATATGAAAATGAAAGTTCAGAATTTCCATATCTTTTCTAGTAGATGCATTTAGCTAGGGCCTGATTTGTGTTGAAATACAAAATTGGGTTCTACATCCTAAAATTGTAATATTTTAAATGCTTTCAAAAACATGATTCCATCAAACTAATATAATAATATAACAAACGTTTGTTTCCAGGTATGTTTAGGACTAAAGGACTGGCTGTGGACAGGTGTTTTAAAGCCAGATTATCTAATGTCAGTTTGTGAGCAAACACATTGCCACACCTTGATAACTGTAACCATCAGGCCTTCAGGAGACACATCTTTCAACATTTGCACAGTATAGCATTCACTGAGTTAAAAACAAGATTGTGGCTTTTGTTTTCAAAAAGAAACTTCACAAAAACCCATCATGTTTGTCTGTAAAATGTGTCTATAGCCAAGGCCCACTTTGCTCATGGCCCCTGGTAAAATGATGGAAGATAGTATTGTACCGCACACCAAGAAACCAAGAAGCTGTTTAGTACCCGCAAGCACTCAGTGCATTATTTATGAAAACTAGCACTTTGGTTTGGAGTCGAAAGCTCCTTCGCTGTGCGTGCCACTCATGTGAAAAGGCCAGACTGTGGTTCTCTGACGCATCGGTTATTCATTTCTCTGCAGAATCTTCATCTGATGTGGCAGATGCTGTGATCCTTTTACGTCTCCGTGCACATTTTCACCTCTGCGAGGAGACAGAGGAAGACTCGGGCGGTTCACAGTGCCGGTTTTAAACCATTTGATCATAGAAATAGACCCATTCATAGCTGAGCATTTCAAAACTAAATTGTGATCATCAGATTTAAATATCTTGTAGTTTGTCTTGTTATTTATATATAATGTATTAACCTTTATTAAAGGCTATGATATTTGATTTGGACAGCCATTGATTTATAGATAAAGCATTTACAATAGTCAATTATTATTACCAATGCTTGCTAATTTGCACACCAGAATCTAATTAATTCCATTGGCCACAGCTGTGTCCACCTTGCAGTGATAAAGGGTCTGCCCGATGTAGAAGTGTTGGTGTTAGTATTAGTAAGTAAGCATATAGTCAACAAAGCTCCTTGCTTTCATTTTTACAGTCGTGATGGATTTCTTTCTAAATGCAGGTGAGCTTTTAGTGAACTGTAAAGATTTTGAATTGGACCTGGAAAAAGCAACCAATCTCTTGACTGAAGTTGGGATCCGCATGAGAATGCAGTGTGTGTCAGCCTCTCCATATGCTTCCCCTTCCCTTCATTATTCAGCTATAACAAGCACTACCTCCCATACATTACAATATAGCCCACATCATTTGTCAGAAGACGCAGACATCCATGGTGCAATTAAGCTGCACCTGTGCAAACTGTGCAACAGCAGGTTTGTAAGGACCATTGACTTAGAGGCTTACCATTATGTAAACAGTAGAAATAGGCCTATAGGGCTGGCAGAGATCCTGCATCTTGGTTTGGCACCGGTGCATGCTGTCATGTAGCCTACTTAAGGGAGAGGCCATTGTTGTTTATAGACTAAGACACTGAGGGCATAAACGTAATACAATGTGTTGAGTAAAGTTGTCAAAAAAATAGCACACAACCCTTTGAGATTTCCATTTAGTTTAATTATATATTTCTTTGTCAGGGACATCCAGCCCAGAGTTGAAGGCTGGAAGACACATTACATCTGTTAGGCAGATGTTTTTAAAGTCACCCAGTAATGCTCATCCCAAAGCTGGTGTTATATTGATAAATGAACCCACGGACACTGCATTTTGTCTTTTCGTATGAAGAAAAAGCTCATACGAACACCCGTTGCATTCTTCCTCGCCATGATCGTAAGCCGGCATGCGTAACAGTAGTACCCTGAAAACATATGGGGTATTGTTGTTGCATTACAATTTGATGGAAACCATGAGCAGACCAAGTACCATATTTGATGCCACTACGGTGGATAAAGCATGATAAAGTCCCTTCTAGAGTACCGTTCCAGGGGTGAAAATGTAATGCAGTGCACTAACGGGAGCCTAAATGGAGAAATCGTGATGCGGTTCACTAATGGGAACCCTTAAATTGAAAAACGTTATGCAGTGCACTAATGGGAGCCCTTAAATGGAGAAAAAGTTAAGCAGTGTACTAATGGGAGCCTTTAAATGGATAAAACGTCATGCAGTGCACTAATGGGAGACCTTAAATGGAGAAAGTATGATGCAGTGGATTGTACATGCTAAAAAAAACTCCATGCATGCCAGTGTCCCACCACATGCGGCTGATGCCCTTTATATTTTTCGCCCCTGGCCCTCAGGCAGCCTGAGTCCGCCACTGAGGTAGGCGTACCGTCGCCCTCTGGTGAGCTACACTATTCTCATTACACGCTCGACCCACATTTACATGTGCAATGTCTTTCAAACACAGCAACGCCTCCCCCGCTTAATATCTAATCCAACGAAGAGAGGTCTCAGTTGTTGTAGTGTCTTCGTGCACACGATGGTGGAGAGGTTCTTTGTTTGCTGGCTTTGACGGTAACGCGCCTGCGTGCTCGCGCTCTTTCATTATTTCACAGGTGCGCTCAGCAGCTCAGGAGGACACACTGCAGGTAGAGGTCGAGCCTCCGCCTTATCGTGAATAATGTTACCGAAAGTAGAACAAATGTCGAGAATGTCTTGCTCTTTGTCGCTACATTAATGACGGGCAGCTTTGAGTATTTACCGCAAAGTATCTAACAACAGTTTTTGGGGAGTTTAATAAAGACTTCGTTTGCGCGGAAAAAAATGGCCAATACATCCAACCTGTGTTGTTTATGAAAGCAGCGTTAAAGCAGATTCTTATTTAATTACTCCATATAAATGTAGAAGGTGCCTGCAGCGTCCAAACTGCTATCTATCCAACGTTATCGGGAGCAACAGGTGGCGGTTTCTTTGTTCGTTTTTTAAAGTAACGTGAGCTTCATTAATTCCCTCTCTTTGAACAGCAGCAGCAGTAGGATGATATATGGCAGATGCTACAGCAGAGAGCACAATCAACATGGAGGACTTTTTCAAAACGGTAAACTTCACACATGTTTTGTCTGTTGGCTGTCTCGTCATATCCAGTAGCTTAATGTGTTGTATGTGTATATTTGTAGGTGGGGGAGGTGACGAGCCTCATTGAAAAAATCTCCTGCCAAGCAGAAGAGGTGGAGGGACGACACGGAGCTATTGTTTGCACTGCAAGCCAAGACAAGAGTAAGTAGAGAGCACCGTCATGGCGCTGATGCGCTCTCGGAGATCTACCCTTCCTCCAGGGCGCACAGCACTAAACAGACAAACAGAGCAACACACACACACACACACACACACAAATGGTGTAGAAAAAGATAAATGTATCATGTTTTGGTCAAGACATAGATATATATATAGCTACACCATGATAATAATGTTACATTAACAACAGGCCAGACCGAATGACTGAAAGTAAAAACATATCCAACATGTGGCTGCAGGTGCTCTAGTCACCATTGCATGTTAATAATTAATGATTGCATACAAAACCCAACCATTCTTGAATGGTAATGCTCTTTGACAATGTACGTCTTAAAGTTAAGGGATCACCAAAGCTGCTGCATTAAAATGAGCCACCTTAAAATGATGCCTTTAATGAAGTGAACGTATTCTGTTCTTAGGAAAACAAGACAACCTGGAGCTGCTCAACCATGAGACCAAGAAGAACGCCAACTTGGTCCGAGCCAAGTTAATATGTAAGGGGTGCTGTATTTTTATTTTTTTGTCTTTGCAAAATGTGCTTTTGTACAGTAGATATTAGTTTGTCTCATGCTGTAGTAACGCGTAACGCAACTAGAGCAAAGTTATTATGGATGCGTGGTTGTGTAGGCTGTCGTTGGTGTTTGATACAATGAGGAAGAGCTGTGTAGCTGTAGCACATCACTCTTCCTCAAATTCTGGAACTGCATTGTTCACAACATGGCATTTGACTTGCAAATGGTTAGAAAAGGAAGGCTGCTATAGTCAACTCTAATCTGTGAGTTAACCAACATGTTTTCTACGATTGCATGCGCAGAGTGGTGGAACAGTGGGGCAGAGTTTGAATTTCACCTTTAAATCGGTACTGTGCTTGTTTGCGTATTTGATCTGCGTACTTTCAGCAATGCAGCAGAACTTTCCGGTGGAGGAGAACGGTGAAAGAGCCTCAGCAATTCAGCGTATTCAGAAGAACCAGGTCTGGCATCACTTTTATCTCCTGTAACAAGCCAGGTGCATAAAGACGGCCAGCTCATTCATTACAAAGAAGCCTCGATCTTTAGGCACCTGTCAAAAAAAATCACACCTGTGATAATGGTCTTTCATTTTCATGAATCAATAATCCCTTTTTTTTTTTTTTTTTTTAATTTTTCTCTGGACTGCCTTTCACCAGCACTCCCACCTGACTCGGTGCTTTGCTGAAGCCATGAGGGGCTACCATAAGGCACAGATCTCCTTCAGAGAGAAATGCAAAGCACAGATCCAGAGACAGCTGGAGATTGGTGAGCTGCCAAAAAACAAATGACACTAGAACATGAGCCCATGCGCCCCCCCCCCCCCCGCTCTGCTCAGTGTGTAAATGGTCTTCGTTTCATACACCAGGATCATGCCAGTGCAGTTGATGTGAGGGTTTTTATACTAATAGCTCCTCAGATAGTCAGAGATGTTATGATGTAGGACGGTAATGTTATTTCTTCTTCCCAATTAAATCATTACTATAAGTAAGAAGCTCAGCATTCAATTTTAATTATCTTTCAAACTACATTTTTCTCTTCAGTTTACACACAGGTTGCGGTTTACATCTACAGTAGACTTATTTGAGTTAGGAGAAGGTGGTGTCGCAGTAGAGAAGAGTAGAGGTGTAATAGCGCCATCCTGTGGTGAACACCTAAAAATACACTTCTTGTTAGCTCACAACACTAAAAAGTGTAGAGTGATTGTGATTCATTTAAGATTTAAGCATGCACTTTTGTTTTAGAATTATTATTATGATGATACAACAGCATGTTAAGCTAACCTGGACTCATCAGCTTTGTCACTATTTCAGTGGATAAAGTGACAACGGATGAAGAGTTGGAGGAGATGCTGCACCGTGACCATCTTACCATCTTCATATCTGATGTTAGTGGAATTTCCTTCGATTCTGGCCGACAAAAATGGCAACGCAATAGTTACTAATATCTACCGTAGCTTTATTTTTGCTGTGGATCACTTCGATATGCAGTTAGAATGTAATGTGAAGCTACTCGGATGATTATTATATAAACAACAGGTGTACTTTTCCTGTTACAGATCAACTCTGACGCTCTGATTTCCAGCCAGGCTCTGAGTGAGATCGAGTCTCGTCATCAGGACATCATCTGCCTCGAGTCCAGCATCAAAGAGCTGCACGAGATATTTGCCGACACCGCCATGCTGTTGGAGATTCAGGTAAGATGGCTGCCTTGTGTTGAAACATTCATGACTAATATAAAGGAATGTACCAATGTCACAACCTGACTGGTGTTGATTGTGCTTTTCTTCCATCAGGGAGACTTGATCAACAATATAGAAAAGAACGTGACGAGTGCAGCAGAGTATGTAGATGTGTCCAAAGCACAAACCTACGATGCAGTCGCATATAAGAAAAACCCGTACAAGTTAGCATCTCTCCCGAGCTTCTTCAAGTCTTTCAAGAGGAAAACCTAAAACTGCTACTGATCAAAACGCCTCCGATTCAAACCACGACTGAGCTCCCGAACCTGTCTGAACATTGACTGCACCAAACATCCTGATCTACATCAAAGCCTGCGCTCGATGGAGCATGCTTTTCATCAGATTTTTCGGTACAGTGCCTGTCTGCCAACTCGAAGGATAATGAGGTCGTCGTTAATTTAAATTTGCACTGCTATGATAATGATGCGACAACATGCTGAGCCAGTTTCTGATGCTACCTGTGGACTGTCAAAAGGACAAATGCAGCATAAAACCTTAAAAAAATCACTCACTCACAGTTAGCCAGTGTTGCCCTTAGTGGCCAGCAGGTGGCAGGACAACATCAGATAGAACTCTGAACCAAGATCACTTAACTTCCCTCCTCTCTGCAGTCCTGCTGAACTTCTGTGTTTTTGTCTGATACTGTGTTTTACCAATGTAGTGTTTAATATTCTGAAAGAAATGTCTAATCCCTTGCTGTGGGACTATGCCTGCCAATCCTGAAATAAACCTATGTGGTGAATGCTACAGTACGTAATGTGCTACTGGTGCTTTATTGTAACATGTGAAAGAGGGGAAGGAAATGCTGTGACTACACATACAAGAATCCATCATAATGTGGGATAGACAAACTATAGTCGGAGGTCTAAAAGTCCCTCTATCCCATACGGATGGGTAAGAAAAACATGAATTGTCCAAGTTTCAAGCCAAAAGAGCTGCTTCAGTTCTCAATGGCATATATATATTATTGAAGCATATGTATTCCTTATGATTCTCCACTTGTTTAGTGTTTTTTTTATATTGTAATTTGTCACCTGCAGTTTATGTATGATGGATAATTGCTTACAGTTATCATTTGCCTGCGTGGGCCTCAGTGTGATCTGACTGTAGGAGGGGACGAGGGCAGGCAAAAACTCTCAGACAAGCTGCATCATGGGAATGCTGCCAGGATGAACCCAATGACTTGTCTCGTGTGTCTCTCTCTATCTCTCCTTTTCCCCTCCTCCTGGATAAGGTTTCACAGCACCTCTGCTCCTTGCTGAAACCACTGATTTCCAAATTGGAAACAGAAAAAGGAATAATAGATAAGGATGACAATGTAATTTAAAGAAAGAAAGGGGAGACCGTGATAAGATTAGGAGTGAAATCAAACAGACCCAGGCCTCCATAAAAATATGGCTTCTTTATTGTTTGTGCCAGAGTGGTGAGGTCTTAACATAGGCCTTGACCACAATTTAAAAGGGCCGAGTGATGTGTGGCTGCATAAAATGTGGGGCCGGGGCTGTCTGCTTTGATTGACAGGTCATCTTTCTGTCTGTCATTTAAACAAACGGGGCTAATGTGCTGAAAATGGCCCGTCTCTAAAAGAACCTTCAAACGTTTCCCCAGTTGGAATGGACTACAACGATAGACAAATGCACGGTCGCAAAGGGCTGAAGCACGAAGGGGGAACAGTCTCTTTTTCTGCCTCCTCACAGAGCCTCCAGCGCAGGCTCACTTCTTGGCTTTGCCCTGGGCGGCCACGGCCTCCATGGCCTTCTTTACGGTTTCCTCATCACCAAGGAAAGCCATGGGCTTTATAGGCTTCAGGTTTGCATCCAGCTCGTACACAATTGGGATTCCTGTTGGCAGGTTCAGCTCCATGATGGCCGCGTCGGACATACCTGGAAAGACGGGCAGATGGATTAGACGGGTAGACATGCAGATCAGCAGACAGAACACAGAGGGAATGTAATTGATACAGCAAAAGGCTGCGCAGACAGGAAGGACACTAGTCTGGCATAATAAAAGGAATCAGCACTGCAGGTTTTCTTTACATCTGATTGTATTTTAATTAATTTTGATCACAGCAATCTGTAATTTATAATCTAAGAAATGTGATATACTTGTCCCTCTCATCCTTGACACCTACAGTACCATTCCTATCTGACATTTAGGCCCTCTGGCTGTATAACTCCCTTATCCATGTCTGGCCACTCCTTGAAAAAGTACAACCTTTATACATAAAGGTCATGACTGTAATGGGAACCAAGCTCATGACCCTCTGCCCTGTCCCTCAGCTGAGTCCCTGCATGCTATTTTTATGCTCTGTAATCCACAACTGTGTGTGTGTGTGTGTGTGTGTGTGTGTGTGTGTGTGTGTGTGTGTGTGCATAGACAAGTGTCTGTGATCATTTAGGCCTTGGCCTTTGCAATGAAAGCTGAAAGCTATTTTCAAACCAAAACATTCGGTTAATTTGCAATTTGCCATTTTGTGATGTTGGATTTTATAATGTCAACATTCACCTCTACCTTTCACTGCAGAACCTTTTGTAAGCCTTGTCCTCCTACAAACCGTAGTACTCACCCTCCAGGTGCTTGACGATGCCACGGAGGCTGTTGCCGTGTGCAGCGATAATAACGTTCTTCCCCAACTTGATTTCTGGCGCGATGACGTCATTCCAGAAAGGCAGGGCGCGGGCGATAGTGTCCTTCAGTGACTCACACGTGGGGAGCTCACCGGGCTTCAGATTCTTGTAGCGCCGGGACTGGAGTTAGTAAGAGCAGTGAAAGGTAGTTTACTCCCACGACAGTTGACAAAGGTTACAGAACTTACTGATAAGACAAACATGGTGGTGCTTTGTGACATTCTTCTGATTAGTGAGAAAAAAAATCCTACAAATAGATTACTGACTCCAAATTAGCCCACACCCTTAGCTTCAGTTGTCTCACCTCACTGATGACTTTGTTGTAAGCGTGATCCTTTTCCATGGGCGGAGGTGGGGTGTCAAAGGAGCGGCGCCAGATCTTCACCTGCTCCTCGCCGTGCTTTTCCGCCGTCTCGGCCTTGTTGAGGCCAGTGAGGCCTCCGTAGTGACGCTCGTTCAGGCGCCAGGTACGAATCACGGGCAGCCACATCTGGTCTGTGCCCTCCATGATGGTCCACAGGGTCTTGACGGCACGTTTCAGCACGGAGGTGTAGCACACATCAAACTTGAGGCCCGCATCCTTGATAGCCAGGGCTCCACGCTTGGCCTCCTCCATCCCCTTCTCACTGAGGTCAGCGTCGAACCAGCCGCAGAAGCGGTTCTCTTGGTTCCAGGCGCTCTCGCCGTGGCGGACAATAACCAAACGGTGGGCAGCAGCCATGTCTACAACGTGTCTCCTGAGTTTGACTTAAACCACACACAGTTCCCTCAGCCCTTCTAACTTGTGGACACACACACAACGTCTGACCAACAGTGAGCCCAAGCCTGCATACCACACTCCTTTTTATAGCAGCCTGGATGGTGGCAGTGCATAGCAGACAGGCCTCCTTCACTTTCCACCCGTGAGAGGCCTTCACGCTCTGACTGACATACATGGCCAGCCAATACAACGAGACCTCTGCCGGGCTGGTGGGACATGTGGCGGGTGGGAAGGCCAGAGTTCAGATATTTAGCCAAAATAGCAACATGACTTTTAAACAGATCTTTGGCACAAAAGTGTAAAAGATCAGAGTTGGCTGCAGAGAGGCACCTCATTCTGAAATGAACAGTTTTAATAACTGAAAGAGAAACTGTAGCTCATTGCACTTTGAAGATTTCATATGTTTAGTAAATATTACATTTGTTCACAGGGCATAACAGGCTCAGCACTGTGGTAGGGGGAGATCCATGAGCAACATGTTGCCAAAACACAGCTGAATTAGAAGCTGCATACAGCGTGCACTTGTCACGACCTGGCTCTGACAGCCATGACCTAATCAGGGAGACGCAGACAGTTGACCAAAAGTAAAGAGTTTATTAGACCTAACAAGGTATCTAACTGGCAATGGTGGTTGCGAACGAGCCGTCCTCGTTCCTCCACGGGGTGATAGGAGAGTGCATGTTGCCAGGAAGGCGGAGCTTTATTCTGGAGCACCGGGCCCAGGTGTCTCCAGTTTGTAATCTCCGGGAACCTGCCATTAAAGGGACACACACACACAAACAAGTAACATGGCAGGGAACCGTCACAGCACTCATGTGCTTTGTCTTACTTTACATGTGGCAGCCAATGCCCCACAACTTACTGGCCACCACAATGTGGCTCTAAATGAATAATAATCATTGTTAATACAATTGAGGTACAATTCAAGAACAGGCGAAACATGCAAGAAACAGCAAAACAATTAGTGTTCAAACATGTTACAGACAGTTAAAAGGGAAAAGGCTCCTCAAAGAACTTGAACTACATCTTGATCTTTAAGGGTTCGACCTGGTCCAACCTGAGGAAGCATATCTTAGCAAATGATCATTAAGTCTCTTAAATCTAAAACAGACAGAGGGATTTATAAAGTGTTCTTACTGTCCATGACCTCTAGGCGTTGCTCTCGTATCAGTTTTACATGCAACATGTCACACTGTGTGGTGCAACAATGAAGCCTGGCTTTTTTTTTCTTCTCAAAAGAGTTACATTTTAGTAAGGCACTGTTAGATGTACATATACAGCTGCTACAACTTATACAGTGGTACATATGCTGTGCAAGGGCTCCCCTGTCTCAGCATCACCACAACATATTTTAAGTATACTCAATGTTTCAAGTTTTTTCTGAGTCTGGAGTTGAGAAATGTTGAGTGTTCCACCCTACTGGAAACATTATACACCGCTGAGACAAATAATCGAAGCCAAATATTCTGCAGTATCCTTCATGAAATTGAATGTCGGGAAGCACTCAGACGTACAGGGTTAGGATCCGCAGTGCTGATGAAGCTTGGAAACTATAAGCCACAGAGCCAACGCTGTCAGGCAAAGTCAATGTCTCCTGACACGGCCAATCAAATTATGTTCCATATATATAGAAAAAAAAGAGAGAAATACAATCGTCCAAAAATATGATATTGATGGAGTTCCAGGCGTGATGCCAGACTGCCTGATGTGAGCCTGATAAGGAGGTAGGTTTTTGTATTGCACAAAGTAGGAACTAACAAGGATGATGCTGCAGGAAAAACACTGGATGTGCCTTTTTGCAGCTGGGTCACTCTGGTTCTCTGGTGAATTGACGTTTACAAAATTAATATGAAAACAGAGTTTTCAATGCTAGAATGACAGATAATTAATATCAAGCTCTGCTGCTAGGTTTTGGTTCTATGGCACATTTACTGTTCAACCCCTGCAGCAACCATATTGCAGCAACAAAGAGCTGATAAACCTAGTTGTAGGCTACCAGCAAAGCAACCCGCTGACAGATGAAGCTGTTGTGTAGAAGAAGTGGCTGTTGAACATACTGCGCTCAAACATCTAGCAGTATGATATTCATATATTTTCTTTAAGAGTCGTTGGAGACCAGATAGGTGGAGTACAGAGAAGGAGAGTTAACATTTGACTTGTATTTGCAGGAATAAATCATAATATGAGCTCACTCTGTCAAACTGTTGATGCAGAGTTTGGGTTCTCAGAAGGCCAGGCCTATCACGTTACACTGGATTCTGGTGAAATGTATCAAGCTGAGGAACTTCCCCCTTTACGACATGTACACCAGGCTAAGCACTGAAGGCAAGCCATGAAACGGATTGCACTGAACGGCTTCGGGCCAAAATACATCTCTGATCTGCTGCCACCTTATGAACCATCCCGACCCCTGAGGTCGTCTGGGACCGGTCTACTTTCTGTTCCCAGAGTCAGAACTAAACATGGAGAAGCAGCGTTCAGTTTTTCTGCTCCACATATCTGGAACAAAGTCCCAGAAAGCTGCAGGTGTGCTGAGACCCTCAGCTCCCTTAAATCAAGATTGAAGATTTGTCTGTTTGCTGCTGCCTTTAATTGAACCAGATTCAAGGATATTAATCAATTCCCTGCATTTCTGTATTTTACTATTGTATTTTATTTCTTACACTGCTTTTTAGTGTTTTAATGACTGTTTTTAATGTTTCAATCAATGCTCTTCATTGTTTTTAAATCTCATTTTCTTTTGCCTTATGTTTTGATGCTTTTAATGGTTTTAATGTGAAGCACTTTGAATTGCCTTGTTGTTGAAATGTGCTGTACAAATAAACTTGCCTTGCCACTGCAGCTGCAAAATAAATTGAATTAAAGCAAATTTGGCTGACAGACAGTGTCGTTAATGATGGTGGCTGTGTATGTCAGCTTGTTATACAAAGCACCCCTAGTGGTCATAAGGGGATAAATAATGTGCCTATGAAGTGTCGATAAATACTATTTAAAAATAAATATAAAGCTATTCAACTTCACCACTATTGCCACCAAGCATGTGACAAACCCAGTGAATCAGTGACCCTCAACAACTGCAGTGCATGTAACTGCCACCGTGTAACTTAACAGTAACACAGGTTGCTGAAATATGTGATGCTGTCACCATGTATAGATGCCTGGAGTTACTGGGAATTTTAAATCTAATAATTTGATACTTAGACTAAGGCTGGGCTTTTATGTTAATTTGCTTCACCGGCAGATCAATCTAGAAATATTAAGTTTTAGAAACTTAGTTCGGGAACAAGCACCACACCCCGAACATAACTAAGTTCCTCCGCACAAATGATTTAATCACAACTGACCCGTTGACTTCCTTCCCCTCCCCTACATCCCTTCATCCCACAACTCTCATCCCTTCCTCCCTCAACCACTTTTCGCTCCCGAAGTCCATCCCTCTGACTTCGACATGCAATACACCATTTGAAACTCCTTATCGTTATCAGTGTGGTCTTAGTTACTGAACACACACTCTAGGTGAGTTACTTTGTTTGGGAAGAGAAGTTAATGGTCTACTTTCTCTCTTTCATTTCCCCAGGTCCTGTAAGTGTCTTGTCTGCCAAAGAAATGGCCCTGGTGCAGATTGTCAGGCTGCTGTTTGGGTGGGAGAGAGTGTACACAGGGGAGTTTGTGTGATCACAACTGTTACGATGACTCAGCCTGCAGCAGAGTCCATGCAGCTCCCACTGAAGTCCCAAACCTCTCACTGCCTGTGAGGCACAGCACTAGGTGCTGGGGGGCTTTGCTGCATAGGCAAATTACTGGAGCGTTCACACTACGGAACATGCACACATGCACACACAACACACACACACACACAGATACACACACACACACACACACACACACACACACACACACAGACAGGCACAAAAACACACATACACAGTTATTGCTGAAAAAGCACTGCAATACACTTCATTTATGCATGGAGCTAGAAAGCAAGATGAATTTCCCAACATATACTATTTAACTGAGCCCCTGCACACATACACACTCACGCACACACACACACACACACTCGAAAAGAAAATGCATGTCAGCAGCTGGGTGTAATTGACCTGCCAGGGTATCTGTGCTGCAGATGACTGTTAGTCTTTTATAGAATTGAAACAACAACCTGACAAAAGGCAAAGAAGACTTTTCTTTCACTGATTAAAAACATTGCTTTACAACTAACAAACTATTAAGACTATCTCTATAACATTGTATAACTTATTCAATATATACTATAGCATACCTTGCGACACTGGCACATAAAATCATTACATTTGAGTCAGGAAAGGACAAAAGAAAAGCTGAGAATATATAGTAAATAGTATTAACATGAAGGAAAAAACTGACGCAGCATGTGTGTACTACTAATTAACTAATCTCCTAGCAAACCGCCAAGCTTATTGATGGACCAAGACGTTTGAAAATATTTCTTTTCACATGTTACCTTCTGTTTGGGTGGGATTTTATCATTGCAGGTCTTTTGAGGTTATGGCTGTAGTTCTGCTCTACACCAGAAGGAGAGATGCTGTGTCACGGTTGTAAATAAGGACCCCCCCCCCCCCCCCCTCCCCTATCTCCTGCAGTGACGATAGCACAACAAGTCGGTTTAACCATGCTTTTTATTCTATATAGAAAATGGAACTCCTAACAAAATATATGACCGTTTTTTGCAGTAAGTCCACATAACCACAAAGATTATTTTTTTTAGAAACGTAGCTCTGATGAACGTCACTGTAATGAAAAGACAAACGTAAGTATGGATCCATGTAAAGTGTATTTTTGCGACCTCTTTCCTCCTGTCTTTTCTTCTGTCTGCCTTTAACTCATTTCCCCTCCCACGCTCATCCGCACGGATCCTCTTTCTTGCCGCTGCAGTGTAAGCCCATCGAACCTGCATTGTCAGAGTTTGGGGAAAGCGCTTGCGTCAGAGCTCAGTCTCCTGCTATAAAAGCACAGGCTGCTGCAGCAGCAAGCATTCGAGGCTTGAACCTGAGCCCGTTGTACACCTCCACACATACATACACACACACACACACACACACACACACACACACACAGAGGAGAGGGATAGCAGCCTGTCCTCCTACCACTCAGCCATGAGTAGCATCGGATATGACCCCTTCTACTCCGCCTCGCCATACAAACGCTGGTATGTCGAGGCCCCCCCTCGTGTCGCGGTGACCAGAGGGAGGACCCTCTCCGTCTACTCCTCTCATGCTTCCCCGCTGTCCTCCTCCCGTCTGCAGTACTCCTCCCCTGGCCGGGTGCTGCTCTCCTCCTCCTCACAAGCCGCTTCTCTGGAGCTGGAGCTGAGCCAGGCCGCCCAGATCAGCTCCGATTTCCGCACCGTGCGCACCCAAGAGCGCGGCCAGCTGCAGGACCTCAACGACCGCTTCGCTGGCTTCATCGAGAGGGTGCGTGAGCTGGAGCAGCAGAACCGCGCTTTGGAGGCAGAGCTGCTGCTGCTGAGGCAGAGGTACACGGAGCCGTCCCGCCTGAGAGCGCTGTACGAGCAGGAGGCCCGGTCCCTGAGAGCTGCTGTGGATGAGGCCAGGGCAGAGCAACAGGCTGTCCTGGGACAGAGAGAGCGGCTGGAGCAAACCCTGAGCGCCTTGCAGGGTCGATATGAGGAGGAAGTGCTGGCGCGTGAAGAGGCCGAGGGCAGGCTGATGGACACCCGCCGCGAGGCCGACGAGGCTGCCTTAGGCAAGGCTGAGCTGGAGAAGAGTGTCGAAACTCTGCTGGAGGAGCTGGCCTTCCTCAAGAGGATTCACGAAGGCGAGGTGGTTGAGCTCCAGGCCCAGGTCCAGATGGGTGTCCAGGTGGCAGTGGAGTCTGAGGCCGCAGCTCCGGACCTCTCCGGGGCTCTCAGGGACATACGGTCCCAGTATGAAAGGCTGGCAGCAAGAAACATGCAGGCAGCAGAGGAGTGGTTCAGGGGGAAGGTGGGCTCCATGACCGAAACTGTGGCCCAGCACAGTAACGCCGTGAGAAGCAACAAGGACGAAGCGGGAGAGTACCGACGCCAGCTCCAGGCCCGCCTGCTGGACATCGATGCATGCAGAGGCCTCAATGAATCCCTGGAGAAACAGCTGCATGAGATGGAGGACAAGCAGAACGCTGAGATAGATGCTATGCATGTCAGTAGTGTATTCTATTGTGATCCCTTCATTATTATCCAGCTCTTTAGATTTTTGCTTGTTACTCTTTAAAAGTATTACTTAAGGGTTTTATTTGATTTAACGTTGTTTGTCCTTGTATCCTGACTTGACATTGTCTTGTATTTAGGACACCATTGCAGAGTTGGAGAGTGAGCTGAGGGGCACCAAACACGAAATGGCACGCTACCTGAAAGATTACCAGGACCTTCTGAATGTCAAGATGGCTCTGGACATTGAGATTGCTGCATACAGGTGAGAAGCAGCAACGGTGCGACTGAGGTGAAAATATAATGTTGAAACTAAGCTGGAGTATTTCTAATGTTTATTTTTATGTAGATAGATCTGCAATGTGTATGGCCTTACTGAATGTATAATTTATGTACAACGTTTTTACGAGTTTAGCGTAGGATAGAAAAGTCAAAAAGAGCAGGAAAATTTTTATTCTGGTAAACACATTCTGGGATGAAGCAACACTGAAGTGTTGAGTGTTAATAAATGGCCACTCACTGAGTTGCCATGGCCTGCTGTACTCATCACCTTTCTTTTCACCGACCTCTACAGGAAGCTTCTAGAAGGGGAGGAGTCTCGTTTCAGTGTAGGAGTGCCTGTGAGTGTGTCCTCTATGTACAGCCACAGTTTCGCAGCGCCCTCCATCGCCCGGCCCTTCCTCTCCAGCATGAGCTCTGGCACCTCCTACCTGATGACATCACACCTCCTCAGCTCCAGCTTCAGCACCACCGAGGGGCTCTTCTCTGCCAGCCACGCCCAGCAAGCAGAGGCCAGCCCACCTGAGGAAGAGGAGGAGGAGGAAGAGGAGGCAGAGGAGGAGGTAAAAGAGGAAGAGGAGGAGGAGAAGGCAGAAGAGGCAGGAGAAGAAACAGAGGAGACAAAGGAGGAAGAGGAGAAGGAGGATAAAGAGGGAGCAGAGGAGGAGGGAGATAAAGAGCAAGAAGATGAAGAAGAGGCTAAGGGAGATGAAGATGCTGAGGGAGGAGATGAGGAGGCCAAGGATGGAGAAAAGGGTTAGTGCATTGTTTTTACATTCTGTAATTTCTCAATTAAACCTCAATTATTAAAATCTGGATGACAAAAAATAATACAATTCTCATCTATTGATGCAGGTGGTGAGGAGGAGCAAAAGGAAGAGGTGACAGAGGCTGCCGAAGATGACGGGGAGAAAGGGGACGAAGGAGAGGAGACTGAGGTTAAAGAGGAAGCCCAAGAGGAGGTAAAAACGGAAGGAGGCGATGACAAAGATGAGGATGCAAAAGAAACAGAAAAGGCGGAGAAAGATGAGGCAAAAAAAAGTGAAGAGAAAGAAGATAAAGCGAATGCCAAGAAAGATGACAAAGATGACAAAGTTCCTTCGAAAACAGATGTCAAAGCTGAAGCCAAAAAGGAGAAAGAGGAAGGAAAAGCAGCCAAACCGGAAGCTGCAGAGGAAACGATCACAAAGGGTAAAAAGTAAGCCAGTAGCTTCAGAAAACTTCAATCACGACTGTCCATTAGCTCGATAACCAGTAGAGGCATCTACGCTATCCTCTCAAATCTGCTTGTTAACATGGTGCTCAATAAAACCGTCCAATAGCCATTCACAGCAGCAAATCAAGGTAAACTGCTTGCCAATATGAATCCATAAAGGGTCTGGTTGCACACTTCCCGATGAGTGTAATATGTGTAATTGCTGAGTGCAAAAATGGGTGTGTGAGATGTTGGTGGTTTAATAAACACCTCTTAAAGCCACGTGTGTCATTGATTTTGTGCCTTGTGAACCATAAACAAGTCCTAAAGTATAACTTTTAACATCAAAAGCCTCTGAAAACGCAGCTGTTTTGTAGTCACCTCGCTCACCGCGATGTGGTTGGTGAGACATGTGAGCACGTGTCATTCACTAATTCCTCGATTCACAGTCACTCACAGGCCATTAGAAACACTGTCAGTGACGGATTGTAAATAAAATTCAATAGCAAAGCGGATCCCCACACAATCCCTCCTAAACTATTTTGATGGGGCATTCAGACACTTAGTAATGCAAAAATAATAATAATAATAATAATAACATAGATAAACATATATATGTGCATGAAGAAATGTAATATACATTTTGTCCCACCACTTTTAATCTTGGCCTTCCTTAATCCTGGAATTGCAGCTCCCATAAGGCTTTGGTGGATGAAAACAGGAAGCTGTACAGCCAACATGTGTAGGCTACTTGAGCCCCTGTTTTAAAAAACGTTATTTGTTTACATTTTGGAAGAATTAACTATTACCAGTTCCTGTTTGCAATGTAACGTTACCCATGGATGCACAGAAATAGAACACTGCATAACTCGATTGTCAAGTGAGCTCTGCAATTACATAAGGGCAATTTGGGGACATTTATTCGTAATGAAAAATCAATCTATTAACTCGCGTGTGTCACGTCTGTGTTCAGGTTTGAGTCATGGCTCCGAGAAAAGAGTGCCATTTTTTTCTTAAATTGCTGGATTCAGCGTTAAGGGGGTTTCGAAGTACCTCAATTTCAGTGGTGGCTGGCGGAAAATGTTCCAGGAGGGCTGTACCACATCCAATCAATTTCAGCAAACATCCCAGAATGATTTAATGCAAAAGAAATTAAGGTATCAAACACGCATTACTACTTTGCAGTTAAATATTCAACATTTATTCCAACATGAAAAAAAGCAGTAAATAAACACGTCAGGACATCTTATTTGTGTCACCCTCACAAGCAATTCAGTATAATATAATAATATATATCACATATAATAATATTCACTACAATACAAAAACACACACATATATATATATAATTATTTATTTATAACTATATATCCATTTCTCAGACAGGTGCTTCATATTCCTCACTCCCCAACTGTCCGTGCTGGATCTGTCCCCTTTGTTTTAAAAAGCTGAATAAGTTATTAGCATGACTGCATCCAGCTAGCCAAACCTGTCTGGTGTACAGCTACTAGAGTAGCTTCGCATGTACAGCTTCCCTTTCCTGCTAGTCTGCTGTCTGATTGTGAGGTCAGGCTGATCTGGGATCAGCTCTTTCACTGCAGTTTCTCCGCAAAAGTTCTCCTCTGAAACGGGTCTTGGAGGAGCAGTGCGCGCTGGCGCTGGCGCTCGCCTGTAGAGACTACTCCTGACGAGAACGCGCAGCTTGGGGCAGAATCGATTCTGCCCCAAGCTGCGCGTTATTGAATCTATTTGAGGACGCTAATTGGCTAAATTGTATGTCACACATTTATATCTTTAGAGGACGTGGAGGAAAAACATATATTATGCGCATATATATCATATTTTACAAATATTACTGGGTGCATTCCATATTTCAAAAACACAAATATTGACAATTTGTATAATTTATTTTTTATTTGTTGTGGCTCAAGGGGGGCCCTCTATTGGCCAGCCGCCACTGCTCAATCGCTTCTTTGAGGTGAGCTGCTGCTGCAACTGCTGCCTGTGTTGGTAAGTCAGCCAAACTACAATTAAACCCTCCATTATTACATGTATTACACCCTGGGGGTTTTACTTAACTGCTGCGCAACTGCCTTTACAACTCTTATATACTTGTGTTCCTGTTCCATTGCATTGCAGCATGTTAATGGTTTTATCACAAATGCAACAAAACAGGAAGTAAACACAGTACGCCATACATCTGTGTGAGTTTGTTTCTCCTGCTCGTGACCTATGCTCGTGAACCGCCATTTCCAGTTGTGGTGATGTCTTTACAGAAACTATACAGTCCATACAGTGCATCCACTTTCTATACAGAAAGTGGATGCAAATGATTTGCGTTATTATCCTGTTATTTTCATAAATGACCACAGGGGGCGCTGTTTAGCGAACGCTGCACAGCTCCTTGATTGGTTACCTGAGCATGAACAGCGGGCACTGTGGCCACAAGTGGTGATTACAGGACGATGGTAAATGCTGAAACATGGCGCGACAGTTCACAGAAGAGTGAAATGAAATGACTTCAACTTTAGTTTGCTAAATTGAGCTACTATTAGCTATCATTAAGGCTAGCAGCAGAGGCTAAATCCCATTGAGTAGTGCTGAATTGAGCATGTCTCTATTTTAACTTTTTATAATAATTTGAATGTGTTTTCGCTGGGACAAAGTGACTGATTGCCAGTTGAAGGCACACATACACACACAGTAGCTAAAAGCACGCCATTATTTACGGTAATTGGATGCTTTTTGCAGACCAACTAAGAGAAATGATGATGATAACGATGACTCTGAAGTCAAAGTCTTGCTCTATTTTATTACTCCATTTACATGTGAAATACGAAATAGGCACTCATTGAAACTGATCATGTCTGGATACAAGATGACCCATAAGCTTGTTTTTGCAATTACTACTTTTACAAAAGACTGGTAGTAAAAGCTTGCAATCTGTTTTCACAAGCACATCTATAATCTTCTCTAGTGTGATGAAAGCAAACACCCACTGATGCACATTATCCTCTGACACCTGACACCACCCAGCAGCTGCTCTGTTTATTTTACTCCCTTGGGTAGATATTAAGTTTAGACAGTCTGCAGCAGCAAGCAAGCTCTCTGCATCAGGTATGGTGCAAACAGCCCCGGGTGTGGGTATATTTTGCTGTTGACGAAAAATAAATAAAACTAAGCCGCATATTTAAAACCTTTCGGCAAACTAGTTCAGCAGCACATCAATTCAATTTAAATCTGAATAAATATCTTTGAGCAATAACCATGAGCCAAGAAATAAATCTTGCCCTTTCAACATGGTCAGATGAACCTTATGGCACTCTGACTTTTTTAAAGTACATGAGATCAATTACATTCTTGGTTGATGTATATTGTTGGTTGATATATATAAATATGTGTGTGTGTGTGTGTGTGTGTGTGTGTGTGTGTGTGTGTTGTAGAATGACAGTGAATGAAGCTTGAATCTCGATATCATAACTTTTTTGACCTTAAAGCCGTTCATTTCATAACGAAACACTTATTATAAAGCTATTTTCTGACAAGTCGTAATACTTTCAACCACTTACAAACTACTTATTGTAACTACTCTAATGTAATAAGAAATGTTTGATGCATGTATACACAAAGCAACAATATGAATACATTAATATAAATGACAAGAAACAGTTTTTTTTACTTCGTTATGACATTTATTGAGCAAATGCTGCTGGGAAATTGTACATGATGAGTAAAGTCATGGGATTGCAAACAGTAGCACCTCATTTATTTCTGTATTTAAATTCAAGTCCCTCCTATGCATACAAGAATGCGTGAATCTGCGCATTTACAGTTGGTTCATTTTTCAGTTGCACTCAGGTGAACATAACAGACACTGATGAAAAGCATGTTTAAGGCTAAGAGTTTCTTCAGGTTTGTTAAGCTTTAACTGGATGTACATGGTCGTGTGTGTGTGTGTGTGTGTGTGTGTGTCATATCGCTGCCCGTCTCTTTCTTCTCTGTATGTGGTGCATTTGCTGTTAGTTTCTTTTTGGCTCAGTTGATATCTTCACATGTCAAGTAAGGCTTCTTCAGTAGAGCACGTGTCTTCGTAGACTTCCCTCACCCCCTTTACTTAAACTCTGAACAACCTCTCAACTTTAATATTTCTCTCACTCTCCCATCCACAATATACAGTATATATATATATGTATTCCTTTTACATATGTACTCTTTTTACAGTGTATTTCTACCATACATACAGATGAGAGGAAAGTTCTCCCCTCTCCTGAGCTATCATGCAGAGACCCCCCGTCCCTCCCTCCCTCCCTCCAGTGAGCTCACCCGTGAACTGCAGAAAGAAAGAAAAAGAGGATAAAATGTCTTAGTCGCTAGCTCCTCCCGACGTCCGCAGCAAAGCCTGCTTAAAGCTGTCACTCAACATGCATTTTTGAAATTTGTAGCATTTACGTTTTGGCTTCTCTCTATGATTTGTGAGTGGCTATCTTTATTACATCGCTCTAGCTGTATAATTTTCTTGTTTTAAATGTTAGTTCTGGGTTGATTGCTTATCTCTGTATCCTCTCCTCCGGTCCACCTCCGCTCATTCGGCCTCTGTCACCAGCTTGATGGACTGGGTGGAGTGCTTCTCCGTCTTCTTGGTGGAGACCAGCTTCTCCTCCTTCTCCTCCTCCACCTCTTCCTTCATCGTCTCGGTCACGGTGACCGATTTGGTGACGCGCTTGGAGCCGTCTTCTCCGGTGGTGATCGTCTCCACAGTTTTGGTGATCACCACTTTCTGGCTTCCGTCTTCCTTGACGGGACTTTCGTCCACGCCGTTAGAGATCACGTCGTCTTCCTTTCCCTCGTCCTTCTTCTCCTTCTCTTCAGGGCTGCTCTTGTCTACGTCGCCATTCATGGCAACTTCTTTCTTTTCTGCACTCTTGTCGCTTGTTGGGTCGCTCTTTTTCTCTGATTTCTCTTCAGCAGCTTTAGGGGCCTCGGGTTTGGCGGTCTTTGGGGATTCAGCTTTTGGTGATTCGGGTTTTGGGGAGTCTGACTTGGGGGACTCAGTTTTTGGGGAGCTGGGTTTTGGGGATCCAGCCTTCGGTGAGCTTTCTTTGGGGGTCTCAGACTTAGGGGATGCAGGCTTAAGGGACTCAGGTCTAGGTAATTCAGATTTAGGGGACTCAGACTTAGGGGATGCAGGCTTAAGGGACTCAGGTCTAGGTAGTTCAGATTTAGGGGACTCAGACTTAGGGGATGCAGGCTTAGGGGACTCAGGTCTAGGTAATTCAGATTTAGGGGACTCAGGTTTAGGGGATTCAGATTTAGGGGACTCAGGTTTAGGGGATTCAGATTTAGGAGACTCAGGTTTAGGGGATTCAGACTTAGGGGACTCAGGTTTAGGGGATTCAGACTTAGGAGACTCAGGTTTAGGGGATTCAGACTTAGGGGACTCAGGCTTAGGGGATTCAGACTTAGGAGACTCAGGTTTAGGGGATTCAGACTTAGGGGACTCAGGCTTAGGGGATTCAGACTTAGGGGACTCAGGTTTTGGGGATTCAGACTTAGGTGATCCAGGTCTGGGGGATTCAGACTTGGGGGATTGAGGTTTTGGGGATTCAGCCTTTGGAGAATCTGGTTTTGATGCCTCGGTTTTGGCAGCTTCTTCTTTCTTGACCTCTGGCTTTGCAGCTTCTGTTTTTGGAGCTTCTGTCTTGGCTACATCTTCTTCTGCTTTCTCATCTTTTAACTTCTTCTCGTCTTTTTCGCTTTTTTTGTCTTTGTCCCCGTCCTCTTTTTCCTCTTTCTCATCACCGCTTTTGGATGCTTTGTCACTAGCTGCATCTTCATCCTGATCGCCTTCCTCCTCTTCAGCACCAGCTTCCTCTTCACCTCCGCTGCCTTCTTTGTCTCCGGCCTTCTCTTTGTCAGGAGAGGCTTTAGACTCTGGAGCTTTGGAGCACAGGACTGTCTCCTCAACTTCCTCCTCTCCCTCTTCTCCGTCTTCTTCGTCGCCTCCCTCTGCATCCTCCCCCTTTTCTCCCTCATCCTCTTCTTCCTTCTCTCCTTCATCACCCCCTTCTCCTTCCCCCTCTTCTTCCTCATCGTCACCTTTTCCATCCTCTTCTTCCTCCTTAGCAGGTTCGCTAGAGCTAACCTTGGCTTCAGTGGCGGCTACAAGTTCCTCCTCGCCCTCTTCCCCCTCAGCCTCTGCTTCCTCCCCCTCTCCTTCCTCTTCTCCATCCTCTTCCTCACCCTCATCTCCCCCTCCTCCGAGTGTGGCAGACAGCTCTTGTGCTATTTCCGCCAGGGCCTCGTCGATGTCTAACTTCTCATCCTCAACCGTTGTCTCTTCGGTGATCTCCTCCACAAACTTGTGGTGCACCTTGAGCTTGGGAGGGTCTGATTTAGGCTTAGAGATTTTGGTGGGGGTGGCCTGACGATAAGGGAAAGTGTTGAAGTGGGTCTCCTCACCCTCTAGGAGTTTCCTGAGGACAGCAAATGTCATGTATTTAGTAATCCCTTTAGGTACAGAGAAGGTTACCGTTTTTATGAAATGACTGCAAATATTATTTTGTGCTAAAGATGTCAATTGCATGTCAGATAGGCTACCTGTATGCAGCGATCTCAATGTCCAAGGCCATCTTGACATTGAGCAGGTCCTGGTACTCACGCAGGTGACGAGCCATCTCCCATTTGGTGCTCTTGAGCTCATTATCCAGCTGGTGAATTGTCTCCTGAGAAAAAAACAGAGCAGTACATGATACAAGGTTGATTAAGTACAACAAGATGACATGAAGAGCAAAGCCACATCCTCTTTTGCAGATTAATTTATGCAGCTTTGAATATCACCTTCATGGATTACCAAGATTTGTGGGAACAGCTTTAGAAAGAATTCCAAAACATTTTTTTTTACGGATTTACCTTTTAAATTAAACTGAACCTGTGTCAATTTGTCGCTCTTTTATTTGCCGTGTACATTTTGTATAAACTCTGTGGACTATGTGCACCAAACCCTGTTGCTTTAATATAATCTGACGCAACACAGTATTCATTCATGTCGAAGGCCACTCTCTCTCTCTCAAGGACAGCCTCCACTCTTTTCAATGCACCCCCACACCCACCCCAAAATCTCAGTGGTGTGATGTAAGGACTCAGCATCGACCCGTGCCTCTGACTCAGCAATACGTGAAGGGGGGGAGGAGGGAGGGGGGGAGTCTGCTGCTGCTGCTGCAGTGTCTCCCTTTAACCATTTCCTGACACTTGGGAGAGTGATTTGTAAAGGAAGTCAGCGCTCCTAACTTTGGGAGCGCAATGATGCCCCCATAGCGGTCATGACGCAGCAGAAGATGTTTCAACACAGGAAGTTAACTGTGATTTAGGACAGAAGATATGATCACTTTTGCTTTTATTAAATCAGTTTGCTGTTTTTATGTCCCTCAAATAAAAACTGCGTCACACTAAGATATACGAAAAATTAAATATCCAGTACATTAACAATCTATCCATCGCCATCATAGCAACTCAAACCCCAATTCATAATTTTTAAACACACAAAAATATTAACTTAACAACATCTCACAGCAACAATTTAAAAGTGTATTCAAACGATGTTTTCGGCTCTTTACGCACGGCTCTGGGGCTGTTTCCTACCTGCAGGCTGGACAGGTCGCTGTTGTGGCGGTCCTCGATGTCATTCAGCTGCCTCTCCAGCGATTCTCTTGTCCCGCGGATGGACTCCAACTCCACCGTCTTGGACTGCAACTGGCGGCGGTAGTCGGATATCTCATCACGGGCGGACTTGATGGCGTCCTTGTTCTGCTCCGCCGCATCGGTGAGCTTGGAGAAGCGGCACATGAACCAGTTCTCCACCTGCTGCAGGTTCTGGTTGGAGTGGCCCTCCAGCTCGCAGCGGATCTCCCGCAGAGCCTCGGTGATGTCCGTCTTCTGGAGGTCTCTCCTCTCCACGGTCACCTGAGACTCCTGGATCTGGGCGAAGAGGTCGCTCACCTCTTCCTCGTGGTTGTTGCGGATGAATGCGATCTCGTCCTGCAGCGACTGAACTTTCTTATCCAGCTCGGACTTCACCAACTCGGAGTCGCTCGTGTCCTTCTTCAGGAGGCGGATTATGGCCTCCGTCTCCTCCCGGATGCGAGCCTCCTCGTCGAAGCGGTCCCTGAGCCGCTGGATGTCCTCCTCCGTGTGGTCGGTGTCGAGCTGGATCTGCGTCTTGTCGTGGTGGATCTGCTCCAGCATGGAGCGCAGCTCCTGCAGCTCCTGGTCGTAGTGGTCGCCCAGCTGGGAGCGCGACACCTGCTTCTGCCGCAGTGCCTGGATCTCATCCTCGATCTGCTTGTTCTGCTGCTCCAGATAGTGCACCTTGTCGATGTAAACCACAAACCGGTCGTTGAGCCCCTGGAGTTGCTCTTTCTCATTGGAGCGCTTGTAGTCTCCGTTCAGCATGGAGCTTTGACTGTAATCAACGCTGTCGGCGGAGCCGTGCACCGCCGAGCTGTAAACTCGGGACACCGGCATGTTCACGTTCCTCTTGTAAGACGAGGTCATGGTGGAGCCGGGGCTTGCCCGGGACCAAGACTGGGAGCGAAAGCCGCTGGACGGGGTGCCGCTGGAGCGGCTGTAGCCGTAGCCGGTCGTTCTGGTATCCATAATTCTCCTGAAGGGGCTCCCTACCGTGTCCACCGGGTAACTCATCCGGTCAGACTATATGATGTGCGCCGGAATGAAGGAGGGGGGGATGACGGTGCAGGGGACGAAGGCTAGTTTTGTATGTGGGTGTGTGTATGAGTGTGTGTTATGTGTGTGTGCAGGTGAGGGGTGTATGGCTTGCAGAGCGAATGAGACCTCCTCTGCCTGCACCTTATATATCTGAGGCTCTGTCGCCAACAAGGCAAGTCCAAGCAGTTTTATTTCGTCCACTGGTGGAAGGGAGTGCGCGCGCACCCCCCCCCCCCCCCCCGCCAGGCTGCCTGCTGATGGTCCGGGGTCCCGTTCCGTCTGAACCACGTGGGCTGCAGGCGCTACGTGGGTGTCCGATTGAGATAGATAGATGAAAAGATAGCGAGATAGTTAGTTAGCATCATTAAGTTTATAATGAAAATTTTAAATAACGACTGATCTCATGAAAACAATCTTTGCTGAATTGGTCTCGTCGTTTCAGCACCACGGACAGCGACCAGCAAAACATCAGCCAGTTGTTTCCCTCGAAATGACAGCAGTATTTTCTTACAGCTTAATGCAGTGAACTATGAATGCATGAACTTCAACTACCTCAAGATGACTGTTTGTTTGTTTGTTTCTTGTATCAAGTCTAAGGACTGTGAAGACTTTGCCTTGTCACTGTAATTTCTCACAACCAGGAGGTTACACCAAGTGATCCAGAGAAAGTGGTGGCAGGAGTAAGCATGTTATATTAATAGATATACCTATTAATATAGTTACTCATTTGTGCTTTAACATTTAAAGTGACAAAAGACTAACGCTGGCAAGGAGAATATTATTCCAATTTCTGACTGGTAGTATAGAGATCATTTAAAACTTCAATGTTGAATGTATTTCTCTTTCATAGAACTCAGATCCATTCATTGATTCATGAATTGCATCGTTAATGTCTTGAAACTAAATTGAATTTCGTCATTTATTCATTTTGGATGAACCTCGGTGAAACAAAAACTAACAAATGTTCATCAACACTTTTAATAGAATCATTTGTACAGCCTACACGTGGATTTTCGTTTACCTGCAGGGCGTGGGACATTTACTATTCTCTTGTATGGGGGATGTACTTATCTTACATTCCCGCATAGCTTTACTGCATAGTGTTTGTACACCATACAGGCACATGCGCACACACTTTTCCTCCAGCTCTCTGTGGGATCCTCACTATCGGAGGTGCAAAGCCACGTGGGATTCGTGGCTTTTCCATCTATTTGCTGAGACATCTCCCCTCTGAGGGGCTGCCCAACTGGTGGCTCAGCCTCACCTGCAGGCTATTGATCTCCCGTCAATCTTGATGCTTCGCGCTAATCTCGGGTCACTCCGGTCAATGCGGAAACGATTACCAATTGTTGGAAGGCTTGCAGCAAAAACGGCTGCATTAGTGCTTTTTCAGGATCCGTGGGTTCATGACATGCTTAATCCTGTCAAAATGAAAACAGGTGCGGCCGCACTATGAGTCATGCAAACGGTGATCGACACGCAAAATGTTGCATTTCTGGTGATTGTTCATTAAGTGGCAATTCTTCCACTTCTTAAATGTAACACCTGACAACAACAAATAAAGTGTACCTTTACAGGGCTGCTTGTTATGGATGTAGCATGTGAGTGGAGAATTTATTGTGCTTTTTAACACTGAATTCGACATTGGCCGTCAACGACCTCGCTACATTTTCTTGTCCACTCTTTGGCTTTCCACTGCAAGCTTTAGTCAAGCAGAGCTAATACATCAAGCATGGCCCATTTTAGATTGCTCCTGAGACAGAAAGGCAGAGAGAGAGAGAGAGAGAGAGAGAGAGAGAGGAAAATAGAAAGGGAGCTAGACAGAGAGGGAGGAAGAGACGATCACAATGACTTGCTCCTCCTGATATGTATTATAAATGCTTATACTCCAGCAGCCCCACCCACAATTTCCTGGCATGCTGCACGTTACAGTGTCCTTGACCACTGCTCCATGAGTTTCTCTGTGCAGGCCGTCCTGCTGGTTGCAGGGTTTTTGGACGCGTATATTTAATTCGCTCAGAAATTTAGACGTGCTTTTGGATGCCCTACGAGGGGCCGAGGCGGTGGTTTGATGTACACAGTGGCGTGAGGGATGTGTGGGTTGGGCAAAAACAGGGGAGTCATTCAACATCAGTTCTGGGCTCCAGCGCACTGCAGAAGGGTTTGGAGTGTTTTCAAATGGCACTGCAGCAGAAAGCAGACGAGCCCATCCCAGTCGGTCCCAGCTTCTAACCTTCAGAGACCAGTCCAGCCGGGAGTGCACTCCCCTTGGAATGAGGTCAGGGAGCATCTTTAGGTGACATGGTGCAGGGATATGTTGTTATATATGCTGCTACAGAGAATACAAGGACAGCGTGACCTTTTGTTCAGCTGAGTGGCACATAGAAGTGGCAGCATTGCAATGTTTGTTAATAGCAGTATAATAAAGCATATGACAGATGAGGAACAGTCAGGGTCAGAGCCGTAGCCTGGATTTCAGAAATACTAAGGTCATGAGTACCTACAACAAGTTTTTTAAATCTTTTAGATATATCATTCTGGTTGAGAAATACTGACATTCTTAGTTCCCAGAAAAAAAAAGTATGGAATCCATGACCTCAGTGTCCTCAATAGCTTTGGACCTAAAGCGAGACTTTGTAACTTTTGCTCAGCAGCAGCCCCAGTGACCACAAGTGATAACTATGTGATGCTAAATATAGTAGCACACGTAGAAACGCTAAATAAAGTCAGACTGACTCATTAATGTTTCTTCTTACATGGTGATGTTACTTAGTGTAAGCACATTTTGTTGTATTGCATTTAATCAAGTCAAGTTTTGAACACAGAACTTTTATTTGCATTTTGAGTATACTGTATTGCAACTTATCTGACTTAAGGATCTGAATACACCCGTTTTGTTCCAGTTCATCTCAAAATGATTGGATGGAGACGAGAGAAAACCATTCCTTCATAAACATTACTTTGTGCACCGGTGGCTTTGTCACCATGTTTGCTGCAGGCGCTACGTGGGAGTCTGATTTAAATAGACGTGACATGACTGATCTTCCAAAACAATCCTCGCTGAATTAGGCCCGTCATTTCAGCACCACGGACAGCGACCAGCAAAACATCTGTCAGTTGTTTCCTCGGCTGAAAAACTTCCCCTGATGAAATGACAGCAGCTTTTCTTTGTGTGTGTGTGTGTGTTTTTTTTACAGTTCATTGAAGTGAGCTGTGAATGTAGGAACTTGACCGACCACACACTGAATACTGCTGACACAAAGTCTAAGGACTGTGAAGACTTTGCCATGCTTGCCTTGTCACTTGAACGTCTCACAGCAAGGAAGTTACACCAATTGATCCTCAGCTTGTTTATGTGTGTACACAGTATGCTCCATTACATGAGTGTGGGGTGATACGAATAGTAGAAATACAGTATGTATTAATATATTTCCTCATTTGTGCAGGCTCTACATTTTCTATGAGCTACCTCTCTACAAAGGCCCTTCTCTCTTGGTGTGTGTGTGTGTGTGTGTGTGTGTGTGTGTGTGTGTGTGTGTGTGTGTGTGTGTGCGCGTGTGTGTAGCTGCCAACATCACAGCTTCAGTAAGATGTAGAGAACAGTTTTGGGGCGAATGCAGATAGCCAGACTGAATGACTTGACACACACGCAGCCATAAATACCCAAGTGTCTACCTTTCCCTCTTCATCTCTGTCGCTGTTGTTATCTGTCGGGTTATCTTCCTCTTTATCACTGTTGCTCTTCTCTTCTTTTTCTGCTTCCCTTTTTCTTTCACTGATTACTTTTCACTCTGGGTTGTTCACTCATTTTATTTATACATTTCATTTCTTTCTTTCTACTAAGTCCTTATCTTTTTTTGCCATCATGTCCTATTTCTATCGGTTCCCAGCTCTCCTCTGTCTTCCTCCCTCCCGCTGTCTCCTTCCTCCATCCCTCTGTCTCCATCCTCCCTCCCTCTGTCTCCTTCCTCCCTCCCTCTGTCTCCATCCTCCCTCCCTCTGTCTCCTTCCTGCCTCCTCTGTGTCTCTCCATACATCTCTGTCTGGCTCCCAGTCAACATAACGGTTGTTCGTTCTTGTTGGCTGTAATAACATTATCGCTTTTCCGCCCTCCACAATGCTAGCCTCCATCTGCTGCACCTAACATCACATACCTTCAGTTAATCACAAGCAGTTGCCATGGAGACGTCCTTCACAGGACACGGTACATAAAACATGTTGGGCACCAAGGTCGTTACTGTGTCCTGATGCACCAATACACCTCAGGCAGTATGTGCTATAGTTTCTCTTACAATGCTGTAGAATAATAGCATGAAGCTGACATTGCATTTAACATAACTTTGTATATGTTTCTATTAAGATGTGTTTGGAAGGTTTTACTTCATCACATACTTTTATTTCCCCGTTGCGTCATTTTGCACGTGTTTGTGCACGTGTGCACCTCAGGATTTAGATTATTGCGTGTTCAGCTTCCACTTGAGGTCCGTTGTAAATTGATTAACATTTCTTTCCCTAGAGGTCTTCACAGCTCTGCTGATGCACATGTTGTCGGAGAAAATCTATGCGCGGGTTGTCTTTCGTGTGTCGAGGAATATATTTAGTAAAACCCATAACACTGAACCTGCAGAAACTAAAGAGTATATTGTGTGTGTGTATATAAATGTTGCCCATGAGTATGTAAATCGGGATTGACTCCGTTCACAGTTTAAACCTCACTGACCTGCTTGTGAGTCATTACAAACGTATGTGTAGCCAAACATTGTTAGACTTCTAATCCTAGTTGAGAACCTAACATTTCCAAAGATAAAGATAGTTTTGCATAAATAGCGCTTTTACCTTTGATATTGTAAGTGCATTTTGTGATATTGATACTCTTACTTAAGTAAATGTCTGTCAAACTTCCTCCACCACTGACTCTGCCTTTATGGTACAAGCTTGGGTTCAAATAGAATCTGTGCAAACGAAGTAAAACAGATTGCTCATGATAAATTAATGATTTAATAGCATTTTGTCATGGATTTCGTAGCCAGGCAGTGTAAACAATTCCCATTTTAGGTAAAAAACAAACAAAAAACAACAACAAACATCGATCATGTGTCCAAATGTACATAACAACAGAGATTTTTGTCAGAAGTATGTAAAGGTGTAAAGGTCAAAGCTGTGTTGG